ATCCAGTCTATTCCTAATAAAATCAAGTAATTTATGTTTATATTTATATTTAAGTTTTTATTTTTTCAAAGATAAACTTTAAAAACCTTCTGTAAATATTGTTTTTTTTCCCCCTCATTTTGCTTTAATTACCTGTTTCTCGTCATAAAAATAGCCATGCTTGCTCATGTGAAATGAAAACATGAAAATACAAACAAACATTTTTCAGTACATGCATTTTACATTTTCGAGTATACTGTGTAAATCACACTTTGACTCTTTTTGTCTTTTAAAGATAACAAAAATCACTATTAACTTTAAGGAAATTTCACATAAATATACTTGTCCTCATGTTGCTCTAAACGCGTTTGACTCAAATCATGGGAACAGCTAAAACTTGATTGTTCTGACAGGCTGAAGTGCTTCTGTCATCAGTCCCGCATCACGGTTGTTGTAAAGGTTTGGTCGAGAGCAGAACGGGTGCTAATCTGACTTGTGAGGCGGGTAGTATGTTAGTTGAGTTAGTTGCCTAGCAGATGTGAAGTGAAGAGAAGCACAGCAGTGCTGAATGACTGATATTCATCATGCATGGTTGCGTAATGCCTCACATGCACACCTGTAAATGAGAAATGAGTGCTGCTTGTTCAGACACATCGAGAGCACACAGGCTCCATGCCAGTTCACTTCATATCAGTCCTGTGTAGTACACAAGGTTAGAAATAGTGTGGCCTAGAGCCCTGCATTTCAGCCCGGGCCCAACGGGCCCCAACTTTTTTACGCCCCTTGGGCCGGCCTTCGGGCCAATTTTCACGTCATAGTTCAGACACGGTCCTGACCTCGGGCCTGTTTATGCTTCTCCTTATTTTTATATTTTAGACATCCATCAATTAGTGATGAAAAAAATCTGCGTTCAAACGCGCGCAATAGGCTAAAGCTTGGCGCAAAGCCCCAGCAAAAGTAATTACCATGAATGTGTCGGGGGGGAAATAGTAAGGAGATATTTGAATTATTTACTAATAAACTAGTGTTTTCTGAGTCTGTGTCGCAAGGATGAAGACGACGATCCTGACTCGCCATCTCCTCATTAGACGCGTCTTTAGAGAGAAGTGCATCTTTACGAATTATGATTATAATGAAAGAGTTTTTGATTTGATTTATTTCGTTAAGGTGTAATTTTAAAGCTTTCTATAGATATATTTATCATGTCTGTGAGGCTTGTATTCGCTGAGTTTTGGTTAATTTTTGGTTGTTAATGAAAACTGTAAGAGTAATATGTGAAGTGTTCATTTGCAAAAACCGATAAACGCCACTTTAAAAAAAAAAAAGGGCTGAAGCCGACAAGCGCTTTGTTGTTTTTGAACAGAAGCCGATAAGTCCATTTCAGCGAATCAGCGCGCTGTATTCAGGTCAGGTGACAAGGCTACTTTCACTCTGAAAAGACGTGCTAGGCTAGCTGAGAGGTTACACTGATGAGAGAAAAGCTCTGTGTATTGTGTGTAATCACATCCATACAGTTTATGATCACAACAACAACAACATTTGTCAGGCGTCTACATTATCATCTGAGGAGATTGCAAAGATTAAACCAGTGTTTTTTTAAACTCTAAAACATGAAATGTGGAGTTATCTGCTTTTGCTATAAAACAAACGTTTAATATATAAAAAAACATACTTTCAATGAACTTTAATTTAGTAAATTACCTGTATTTTTTTTTTAAAGTTATTACTACTTAATCAAAGCAACCCAACTGCAGTTTGATTTATATTACTTGGAACGCGCAATTAAAAAAAAACCCCGTCATTTCTGAAAAAATAAAATAAAAATGGAGTTATCGGTTTTTGCAAATGAACTCTTCATGTATTGTTGCATGATCAATAAACAACTGATGAAAATTATTCACCCCTAACCTATAGTGAAATATTAACACATTTTGATGCAATAAATGTGGTATAATTTAAGTGTTCCCTCCAAAACAGAGAAAACATCTTTCACAAACATCTCTGTCTCTTAAAGTGTAAGTGTATATAATGAGTTGTATTTGTAGGGGTTATTATTCCCCACCTCAGACCTCACTAATTATCAAACCCTGGTTACGACCATGTTTGTGTGTGTATCTGATGATAGTTTGGTGAAGTGACTCTGGAGATGAATGATTTCAGGTGTTGAATGTGTCTAGCTGGAGTATGTGGTCACCCAGGTGTTCCCTGTGAACTCTGACCTCAGATCAGTTTAATGTGTGGCAGCGGAGGGCTTTAACGGATTGAGGAAGGGATGACGCACGTCTCTGGCTCTGTTTGTTGGGAAGGTCACGCTTTGATGGCAGCAGATGGATGTTTGAATCACTGTCACTCATGATTAGAGTTCAGATCCAGCTTAATTGATGTGATCGGCTTTTAATGAGGAAAGTGTGCTGCGAGTTTACAGTCTGTCGTAACCGCGTCTATCTCTCGTTTTGTTTTCCCTTATGGCAAAGTCCAGTGTGTTTGAGATGTATTATTAGATTTTTTTCTATGATGGAACTTCCACTTTTTATGATCCAATTGATACCTGATTGATTAAATGTAGTCCTTTCCTATATCTATTCCTTGCATTTGTCTTTTTCTAAATTTTTAATGAATTATTTTATTTATTTTTGCTATGATGGAACATCCCCTTTTCACAATCCAATACATTTCTAGTTGAGAAAATCAAGTCCTGTCTTATGTTTAATTTTTAAATATATATTTTTTATATTTTATATATTTTTTAAGTTTTATGCATGTTTTTTTTTCTTTGATAGAACTTGGAATTTCAAATTTTTCTGTCTAAATGTATTCATTTTACAAGTTTATATTTATGTTTATTTATATTTAGTAGTTTTCTTTTTTAAGATTTGTTCTTAACATTTTTATTATTAAAATTAACATTATTTTTCTTCTCATATTTTGCTTCATTTTAATAACCTGTTTCTTGCTATGAAAATAGCCATGGTAGCTGGAGTGACATGCAAATACAAACAACATTTCTTGTGACTTGGATCTTGGATATTTTTTCCTGTACAGTAGTTACAGTGCATTCTGGGATGGTCTGTAAAGTATACTTGCGCGTCTTTTAGTAAATAAAGTCTTCATCTCTGAGAAGCTCCACAGAAGCTGTTTGGTTTCATTCTCCTCTGTGTAAATCATCCGAGTAAAGGCTTTCCTTCCCGCGCTGTTGTTATCTGGTAAGGTCTTGGGTTGTTTATTAGTCCAGACAAGATCTGAAGCCAGTACTAACAAGAGCGAGGCTGGTTTCTAATAGGCCGTCAGGTCTGATCTGATAAGATCTGCAGTGTCTCTGAGCTCCAGCAGCAGATTTAAAGCTGTAATAAATCACGGGCCCTCCAGCTGGGCTCTTGTCTCCTGAAGCTAGTATTTCATCAGCGTCTCGCCGCGCTCCGGCATTAAAGCCCATGGATGAGCCTGTATCATTTCACTGACTCGCCTCAGTTTGGGCCCCCGAGAGGTCAAAGGTCAGCCGAGTATCAGGCATTCTTTGATCTTCAGCTTCTTTGGAGGGTTTGATTTTTGAAGGCCGGATGTTTTTACTGTATCATCATCTGTTGAGCACAGATCGAGATTTTTTTTTACATATATCCCATTTGACATCAAAGTAAGTGGTGTACAGTTGGGTGTGTGCTGCATCGTGTTATTATTGTTAACTAAAACTATTCTTTTTAAATAAAGCTGAATTAAAATGAAATGCAAAAATTAAAACTAAAATAAATAAAAAAATTGAGCTAAATAGAAATATTTAAAAAAGGAAATGGAAACGGCTAATAAAAATGATAAAGCATGTAACAAAATAACCGAAACTTAAACTAAAATTAAAATGAAAACTGAAATTATAAAAATGAAAATATTATTGAATACTATTTAAAAAATGAAAAAACTTTAAAAATTATGCCCCGGGAATTAACATAGATAAAATAAAACTGAATAAATGTAGCTAAATGGAAATATATACAAAATATAATAAATATAACAAAAATAATGAAAATGACAAAGCACTTAACAGAATAACTGAAACTTAAATGAAAATATAAAAATATTAGTAAATACTTAATTAAAAGACTTGAAAAGACTTAGACTTAAACTTAAAAATGAAAAATGATGTCTTGTCAATTAACAGAAGTAAAATAAGTTTATAGTAGTATAAATAGTAGTTTTGCTAAAAATTGAAAGAAAAAAATCACAGCTAAATAGAAATATTTTTTAAAAAATAGCTAAAACTTAAACAAAAAATGTAAAGTGAAAATATAAAAATATTAGTAAACACTATAAAAAAAATAGATTAAAAGACTAAAAAAGACTTAGACTTCAAAAACTTAAAAATAAAAAAATGATGCCTTGGCAATTAACAGAACTAAAATAAGTTTTAGTTTTTCTAAAGTGAAAGTAAAAATTGCAGCTTAATAGAAATATTAAAAAAACTGAAACTAAAAATGAACACTGAAAATATATAAATATATTGAAACATTAATAAATACTACAATAGTGTGTAAATAATATTAAAATAACATTGTGTCAATCATCACTCTAATAAGGGTAAACAACTCAACTTAATTTAAATTAAAAAAGAGCATTCTGTTCAAATTTGTTAAAAGATTGATTATTAGAAAAGACTGTACTGCCTCTCTTTTTAATGCAGTTACAATTAAAGGTAACTAAAGCGTTCAGAAAAGGACACCAAAACATCATAAACGCATTCGAAGTCTTTAACTCACTGGATTTGAGTGAGAAATTGAAGTCTTTAGTCATTGGTATTTGCACTAGCTCTGCTTGGTGTGTAAGAGTTTCTGAATGAATCTGCTTCACAAAACCACTCTAAATGATTGACTGGTGAGTCAGATTGAACTCCCTGACACTGGTTAACGACTCACCGGAAGGGAATCGATTGCAGTCGAGTCTGATGTGTGTGATTTGTATTGTTGCATATGAAGAGAGCAGCTGTCATGTGTCGTCGTGCGTCTCTGAACTGTGTGTGTTTGTGTTTGATGCAGCTGACAGAAGGAGGAAAGGCAGCGAAAGCCAAGATCAGCGTCGGGGACGTTGTGCTGTCGATCGATGGCATCGCCACAGACGGAATGACACACCTGGAAGCCCAGAATAAAATCAAAGCCTGTACGGGAAACCTGAACCTCTCAGTGCTGAGGTAAAGCTCACGCACACGCACACCACACACACACACACACACAATACACAACACAATTTCTTCAATAGCTTGATGTTTCAACTGTTTATGTCTCATGGCACCCAGAATTAGTTTGATTTGGACCTGCAGATATAAATATATTTTCCATTACGTTTTTCCAATTTACCTGACAAATAACTTTAATCACTACAGGTAGTATTACCAATTTGTGATTAACACTGGAATATTCTTGTGCACACCAGTGGACAAAAAGTATGTTTTAAAAAAAAAAAATATGTTTTTTGCAAGTCTCTTCTGCTCGCCAAGGCTGTATTTATTTGTTCAAAAATACAGTAAAAATTGTGAAATATTATTACAATGAAAAACTGCTGTTTTCTTTGTGAATATCTGTTAAACTGTAATTTATTTCTGTGATGCGCAGCTGAATTTTCAGCATCATTACTCCAGTCTTCAGTGTCACATGATCTTCAGAAATCATAATAATATTCTGATTTGCTGCTCAAGAAACATTTCTGATTATTATCAATGTTGAAAACAGTCGTGCTGCACAATATTTTTG